AAAGATCCACTCACATAAAAGTTTGGGTCGGAGATGTTCGACACCGACGTAGGTTTGTCGTCTGCGCCGTTCATCTAGGACCGTGTGGGTTGGGGAACGTGCATGCAGACTCACAGATGTTCCTATTGTCCGTCTGTCTCTGAAATAATCACAATCTTGAAAACAGTGGAATGACGCAACATAATACAGTAGCACTTGGCTTGGAGTAATTAACATGACAATTTCGCGTGACAGTTTCGGGAGTACAGGGTTGAAAGCAAAATATAGATATAGAATGACTTTAAACAACAGAAATATCACAATAAAATTATCTATTCGTGAAGGTAATATTAAAAAAAATCAGTATCATCGACTAACGTGATTACTTGCTTACAGAATGAGAACGAGATTATAGGGAGTTGTGCCTGCAGTGGTCGCAGCCGCGGGCTGTTTGTCACAGAACCGTAGCTAATATGCGAATTGAGAGAAAGTTCTCATTGGTATGTCTCATCACACAGTCGATCGCGACTCACAAGGCGACGCAATGTCAGCGATCCAAGGCGACACAGCGTCAGCAAAAACAATTCTTACATTTGAGAGACTGATGTTACGTGCTAGCCAGATAAGATGTCGTCAACTTGACATTTTTTTACTTTGCCCGTAACGCTGTGCGTGACATTGTACACGTTGCTACCTATTTTTACACCACTTCTCTTCAACTCCACTTCTTGTTGTTTGTTTGTTTGTCTGCTACAAATCTTATAATCTATATATAACACACTTCTGCCCGTCCTCGATCTGAAATTTTGCACACTTGCGTAAAGTCGGAGTTAATGCATGAATCAATTGACAGAATAAATAATTTTGAAAATTTATTTTTTATATACTAAAAAATACGGAAAAAAATTTTTTATGTGAAAATAAAATTAGAAATTTGTTGTACATGTGTAACATCGTAGACACTGAATTCTTTAGAAGTGTTGTATTTAAAAAGTAATTTTTAAACGCATATTATTGCGGCAACAATGTAGGGGCCTTCAACATTGGGGAGTAGTTTCCGAAAGTCGTTTAATTTTGGCATGTGCCGTACAAAACATCGTTGCCCAAGAGATAATGAACGCGGTTTCGACTTTTTTTAAGTTTGATCCATATACGCATCTATGCCCTCATCCAAAATAGTTATTATATAAGAGCGGATTTGAGCAAAACAGTGTGTAGCGACGCGAAAATAGTCTTCGTGATTATATATAGGGTCCTTGTGACCCATGCCTTCAATCGCTGTGCATATCGCTGCGCTTCTTCAAACCAAAGAACAAAATATTGGGCACAAACTTTTATGTGAGTGGACCTTTGTTAATCGAACCATTCGCACTCAGTCTTTCCTTGCATCGATTGCTGGGCAACGGTTGGTCAATAACCAGGTAGGTGCGCCAACATGTACGTCTTCCTATCCATCGCGTTCGGATTCCTGGGTCTGGTGATCTTCGCATCCTATCTACCACGCCCAGCCCCTCCTCATGCTGTCCCGTCCGACGTGCGTCGTGACGATAAGGAAGACCAGCCGAGAGAGCTGGACGTTCTCCACGCTCGTGTACAAACATTGGAACAATTGGCGGCAATCACCAACCGCATTCCGGTTCACATGTCGGTTCCCCGCGTTGACGTCGCAACATCAACCTGTGACGGACTTCAACGGCTACGACGGGTCTGCATCGTGACACCTACGCAAACTCCTGGTCGCAGTGTCATTGTGCACAGGAGTGCCCACTGCCCACCCTGTGAGGGGAGGAGGGCCACCTCGCTAATGGGTGCCACTCCCACAGCACCCACCGGCCGTGTGGTGACGCCGTTGGACAGTGATTCCAACGACTCCCTCTACGATGACTCGTTGCGGGACCCATAGAACGTTTGTTCTGCTATTCCTTCTTGACATATATGTTTTTCTCAATAATTATATATGTTCTTCTTGACAATTATTAATGTTCTGCTTAATTACTATATATGTTCCTTTTTATAATTCCTGACATATGTTCTTTTGAAATATATTGATTAGTTTTTTGGCTCATTGTGAACCACCAGGTTATTCGACCAAGATTGCAAAATAACGTTCCCAACTTTTCTTTCTAATTCCCTTAACGTAAATATTAACGTAAAGAGAAATTATGCGAGTGTCGAAAACTAACCTGATTGCTTTACCGATCCACCCACATATTGTGTTCAAATCCTGTGTTAGTTTTCTCTTTTATTGTAATCTTTCTAATGCCCCCGAAATTTTGGAGCTGGATTCTCACGCTCACGTCAAAAGAGTCGACGACCTGCATGTGTCGCCGGAGCCGGACTGTCTGCGGAGTGACAAGGCCGTACGCAACAGACCTCCTCCTGGCTCAAGACTCTCCAGCAGATGTCACTCCTGTCGGCACAAAAACACACGTGTGCCTTCCATTGGTACAGCGATACCTGATGAAGTTCCCTTCCATTGGTACAGCGCTACCTGAGGAAGTTCCCTTCCTTTGGTACTGCGCTACCTGAGGAAGTTCCCTTCCATTGGTACAGCGCTACCTGAGGAAGTTCCCTTCCTTTGGTACTGCGCTACCTGAGGAAGTTCCCTTCCATTGGTACTGCGCTACCTGAGGAAGTTCCCTTCCATTGGTACTGCGCTACCTGAGGAAGTTCCCTTCCTTTGGTACAGCGCTACCTGAGCAAGTTTGAAGACCTCATTCGCGCAGTCCAAGAGAAGAACTAATGAAGAACTTCCGTCGCACGGTGGATTCCTTCGCGCTCAAATTCTCTTCAGCTTTTGCAAGTGGAGCCTATATTCGGCTACTCGCATATAACCTCGCCATGCTTATAATCGTTCATGTATTCTATAGGTTGCGATCAATTGTTCAGGCTGATGTAACGCTCAATTACCCCATCCTTTTATAATAAAAACCAAGCTACCAAAACTATAGACTTCTCTTAAGATCGAACGTCGTAAACTTCTCGGGGAGGGACGTTTGAGATGTAAATTGTCAACGATTATTTTGAAATAAATTAGATTCCCAATAGCTACCACATTCAAGTATTTTCCGTATTAGCATCTTCCTGGTTAGAAGGTGATTTCTTCTATCACGATGTTGATAAACATATCCTTATGTTAGCCTTCCCATGTTAAACCCGGTAGAGACTTATCACCTTGGTGACGTCTTTATAAGCTTTGTCTTAACCCGGAAGACCTCAGTCTGGACCTAGAACGAAGGCGTTAACGTTCAACTCATTAGAACTTAAACTCTATAACCTGTAAGCCAATATACTCATTCTACGTATACGTACTTTATCAATAAATACCTCGTGCCTCATTTATCCTCGTTATTACGGTCACCAGGAAATCATTTTAAAACCAGGAAGATGCTAACACGGAAATTACCTGAAATGGTAGCTATTGGGAGTCTAATTTATTTCAAAATAATAGTTGAAAATTTACATCTTACAGAAAGTTGCAATTTAGTTTATAAATTACCTGCAAACAGTCTCATCATTATCTCACCTACGTCAGACTACAGCCAGCTAAAGAAATATGGTAAATCGGGCGCTGCAATGCGGAAAACATAGCAATATGCAGGCACAACAATAAATGTGTTACAAAGCCTATTTGCATATACTACATGTAATGTCATTGTATGTTACTTTATAATAATATTTACTTGCTACATGATGGATTGACATTCCAGCATTACGATCTTCAGAGATCGCAACGATAGCCCACGATCGTTATCTTCGTTTGATCGATCGTTAACGAATTCAAGCGATCGTTAACGAATTGAGTATCAGTGTCACGACCGAGCGTATCTCCAGACACGTGAGGAAGTGTAGCACGTTGTGTGCTTACGTATAATACGTCAGGCCATTGTTAGAACTTCACGTACAATACGCTAGACGTAACCGTTTAACACGTGATACGTTCACGTATAACAGGTCATACATTAATGCTCAACGCATCAGACATTTTCGTATAATTCGCTATACGTCCAAGTAAACACGTCAGAGGTCTACGTTCAACACGTCAGACGTTTAACAACAGTAGTTATACGCCTAAGTATAACACATTGGACGTTAAAGTACACGTCAGATAATGCGCTATATATTAAATTTGGAAACTTACGTAAAATGTGCTGTTTGCGTATAAAACGTCCGACGCTAACGCATAATACGCTTAAATATAATATATAATACGTCAAACGTTCAATTGGCCAAACGTTCGTAAGATTGGTGGGTAGGCGAGGGGGCGGCGGAGGGCGACGGGGGGCGGCCAAGCAAGATGGGCATTGTGAGCTGGAAAAGACATATGCTTCAATAAACAATAAATACGATAAAATTAAAATACATTGAAACAAATGGTATCTTCATTCTTGTATAACTGTGCAATTTAAACATTATTGCGAGTGTATGTATAAAATGTTAAGAATGTAATTAAGAAAAACGAACTGAATTCATCTGAGCTAAAACGAAACTTCTGCCCTAATTACATTAGTTACTGTAAGCTGAGGGAAAACATTGGACTCGAGGATCACTTAAGATACTGGTACTGCAGCTACTGATCTGGGCCTATACTTTCAAAAAAGTTAAGAGATCGTAAGTTCATCAGCCAATCATTGACGGCCTTTCAAGCCACTCTTTTAAAAACAGTTAAGAGATCGTAAGTTCATCAGCCAATCATTGACGGCCTTTCAAGCAAAATCCACCAATCATAGACAAGAAAATAGAGCGTAATACTTACGTTCACTTAGCGAGTTTTGAAAGTATGGCCCCTGGATCATGGAACTAAGTTACTACATTTACAGATTCCGATCTGTTGTCTGCACCAATACTAACCTGCCGTACTAATGTCCTTCCCCCCAGCATGCACGACGTCGCAACGCAGGCGCGGCGCAGGCACCGGGCAGGCGCGGGGCCGGCACAGCGCAGCGCGGGCACAGCGCGGGCACAGCGCAGGCGCGGCGCAGGCACGGCGCCGCCACAGCGCAGGCACAGCGCAGGCAGGCTCAGGCGGAGGCCTCCGTGATGCTGTTGCTGTTGACGTCCGTCGTGGCCTCTTGGCTGGTAGACGCAACCACCTCGTGGATGACCTGCAGGTTATAATAATAATTAATTATATTTTTAATTACATTAATGTATATTGCTAATAAATATCATTATATTATTATTCTGGGTGAAGAGTAAAAGGAATAATTAGAAAAATCTGAGTTAGATACATTTGCATACACAAAGCTAAACATTTTGGTGCAAATTTTGCTCTCAATTGCATTCAATATAAATAAAAGGCCATTACGCTGAACAAAATTTATGGGCTCTGGCGTTCCACAAATATTCTGAATTCTATGTAAACTATTGTCCGTAGGTTCGATAGAAATTGCAGTCCATTGCGTGCAATAAGATTTATGCTCCGTTGCGTTCAATGTCAAGCATGCTTCGCTAGAGTTCGTTATACGTTCAAGTGCACTTGATGCCACTCCGCAGTTCAGGCAAAAGCTGCATGGATATTGACGACCGCAGTGAAGGCTGGGTATTGAAACGTGACTGTTATTATATTTTATTATTATTATATACTATTTGTTATACTATATTTTTATTATTATTCATATTATTATGTTGTTATACTATGAGCGTTATGTTATTATGTCCTTTAAAGGACTAAAATTTTAATCTTTTGTACAAACTTAAAGTTGCATCTCCTGCCGCGTCACATCTTATATAACTCTATATAAATGCTTCTAGAAAATTTTATTGAAGATTGTTCGATGGTTTGGTTACGAATAAGATGTAACTAAGCTATGTCACTGCTCTGTCATCGTGACGTCATATGAGAAGCTATTTTTACATTTCCATTTATGCCCTGAATGTGCTCAAATTTTAGTAGGTATGTTCCTAAAAGCGTTTCTTGTGAGTTAAGAAAGAAATATACTCTACTTAAATCTGTTCTCCGGCGGCACTAAAAAAAAGCAATAAAATAAAAAGAAATATTCAAAACTCATTCACGATACATTCAGCGCTCCAGCATACAAGATGATGTTTTATGTTTATCAACATTGCGATTATCTTCGAACCCTGCCAATAACAGGTAATTCCCAATTGATAGGATTTCGTTGCAGACTAAACGTGTTATTGAGGAACGAGTTATTTAGATATGTCAATATGTATATAAAAGAAAATATATCTTTTGCATTGAAAGCCATTCGTGGTAGCCGTTAAACTTCAGGGTTATTTGAATCTTGGGTCAATATTCCGCGTATTTTATGGAATATTTCTTCTAATGTAAATACCACACAAAAAGTACGATAGCATTTAAGCCAAAAAACTGAAAGCGAAGGCTGCTCCCCTCGTATTCGTAATTTCCATGTCATTTATAAATAATATATCAGATATAATCATGACCAAGTCCCTGTTGTAGACAGACGGATGTGCAATCAGGACCGATCATGCACGGCCGCGAGACGACCTCCCACTCGTTATTATTGAAACAGAATGTGCAGGTCAACACAAACACATTGCAAATGTTCAAGTAAACACCATTGCACTGCAAATGTTCAGATTAACACAAATGTTCAGGGGCCATACTTTCAAAACTGGCTAAGTTAACGTAAGTACTTACGCACTATTTTCTTGTTTATGATTGGTGGATTTTGCTTGAAAGGCCGGCAATGATTGGCTGATGAACTTACGATCTCTTGACTTTTTTTGAAAGTATAGGCCCAGGTCGACATAAATGCCATGTACAAACGCAGTCGTCACTCAGCCAAACGAATCGTAAGGCATTTATATGTGAGCTGAACGAGTAGTTAGTGATGAGTAAACATTTTATAGGGTGAGGGCTTACAAGGCCTTACTTGCAATTGCGTACATTGCAGCTAGAATGTATAATGGTGCATGCATTTCAAATTGCAACTATAGAGGAAATACATATTACGGTACAGGAAAGTGATGCTCGTCATAATATAAAAATGCATTTTTAATATATAATTCTTTTCTCCTGATAATAAAAATACATTTTTATTATCAGGAGAAATTATATTATCATTATTGTACTAAAATACAGGAGTTAATAAGATAATGAGCGAGAAGAGTATGTGTATTTCGAGCAGATCAGAGTAAATAATCTTGAATAAATGGAGTAAATGAATGAGAAATGGAGCACGAAGCACTAATATGAACAACTTGACGTGAATTTAAGGCTTTAAAATGCTAAAGCTTCCATTATTACGGCGGATGAAAAGGAAAATCTGCTTATCTTGAGGTCAACGTATCAATATCAATAATGAACGTAATGATGATCATATTAGACTCCACAAAAAGCTTGAATACTCCGAGAAATAGGTTTTATCCAGAGGAACGCCCTCTAGGCCACTCAGCTTGTTGACAAGATGAAGTTAATTCATCGTATACAACGTTGAAAAAGTGGATCAAAACACGCAGTTTCTCCTGCTATGCTCGGCACAAACTCGTGCCAGCTTCGGCCGCCCATTCATCAAAAGCATTCATCATACAAGTCGTCGTCCGTTCAACACACAAAAATAAACTCCTGTGTATCACCACGACCATTTTCTTCCCAAAACACAAACAGAAATCGAATTATTGTTGACACGTGGCAACCGGTGGACCAAACAGAAAAGTTGATTGCGAAAGAAGTCCCGAGGTACCCTCAAAAGTCCCGAGCTGCCCTTAAAAGTCCCGAGCTACCCTTAAAAGTCCAGAGCTACTCTTAAAAATCCCGAGTTTCCTTTAAAAGTACCGAGGTACTCTTGAAAGTTCCGAGCTACCCTTAAAAGTTCCGAGCTACCCTTAAAAGTTCCGAGCTACTCTTAAAAGTCCCGAGGTACCCTTAAAAGTCCCGAGCTACCCTTAAAAGTCCTGAGCTACCCATAAAAGTCCCGAGCTACCCTTAAAAGTCCCGAGGTACCCTTAAAAGCCCCGAGCTACTCTTAAAAGTCCCGAGCTGCCCTAAAAGTCCCAAGCTACCCTTAAAAATCCCGAGCTGTCCTTAAAAATCCCGAGTTGTCCTTAAAAGTCCTGAGCTGTCCTTAAAAGTCCCGAGCTGTCGTTAAAAGTCCCGAGCTGTCCTTAAAAGTCCCGAGCTACCCTTAAAAGTCCCGATGTACCCCTAAAAGTCCCGAGGTACCCTTAAAAGTTCCGAGCTACCCGTAAAAGTCCCGAGCTACCATTAAAAGTTCCGAGCTGCCCTTAAAAGTCCCGAGCTACTCTTATAAAAGTTCCGAGCTACTCCTAAGAGTCCCGAGCTGTCCTTAAAAGTCCCGAGCTGCCTTTAAAAGTCCCGAGGTACCCTTAAAAGTCCCGAATACACCCAGATAAATGAGTGATAACTTAATGTCCATATAACAATGCGCTTTTTTGCCTCTGTATGCATGATCATTCTGACTTACATATAGTTTGACCCAGTAAAATGACGTATCAGTGATGTACGTGCATGAATGGAGTTACTAATTGGACAATATGATCAATTCACTGTTCTGAGTGTATGGTTTCTGTCCACACAGCCTACACAAATTGGTGTCATTCGGCAGAAGCTTTTCTTCTATGCAAGTTTGAATAAAGACAATTGAGCACGCTTTTTATTAATAATCTTCTTACTGTTTTCTCAATGAATCAAATAAAATTTGTAGCTGGCGCCGGGAGATCAAAAAGCAGGTTACCAAATGACATTTCTGTGGATTACGACGTTTCGAAAATACAATTTTCAGTATCAAGCGGGTGAAGGTTTTGCAACACTTGAAATTGAACTTGGAAATGACAGTAGTACAAATATATAGTCTACATAGTGCACCTACTATCTGGAAGTAGGTCTGCCTCTTGAATATTCGATTATTAAGACATGAACTTATTAATTAACTTCATAGAAAACAAATCGCAATGGTGACTCCAGATTTTTTGCACAAAAATAATAGAATAAATAATTCGCAATCTGAGTTTGCGTGACCAAATAATGACCATTCAGCAACATTACGATGAGCTCGTTTGAATTCAATTTAAATTTTTCACTTGGCCACCACAATCAACGACTAAATAACGACTCACGTGTGCGATTGTATGAGTCACCCTGACCAAACTTGCCCGAAAAAGGCGTATCACTGCTACCTGCAGAATGTACGTCAATATCTGAGCAATGTGACACACTAATTTTTCTGACTGCATTATGCCACGTACAGAAAGTGTCTCACTAATTAGGCAATGTGACTCATTACTTTTTGTGAGTGCAAGCGTCAACGTGGTGTAGAATTATTACAGCTCGAGTGGCAGACTGCCAGTGACCAACCACGACAACGCGACGCCAACTTGCGGTGACAGCGGGCGATTGTGTGGGAGCTGTACTAGCAAAACGTGTACACTGCTGCCTATATTGACGTAGCGGCATAAAGATACGTAGAGGCCAATTCCTCGTCTGTGATAGATAGGTTTAGTTTGAATACCCTTCAGTGATGGGCTTACGTGCTGGGTTTAGCTTGAATACTCTTCAGTGATTGGCTGACGTGGTGGGATTAGATTGAATACCTTTCAGTGATTGCTGACGTCGTGGGTTTAGCTTGAATACCGTTCAGTGATTGGCTGACGTCGTGGATTTAGCTTGAATACCGTTCAGTGATTGGCTGGCGTCGTGGATTTAGCTTGAATACCGTTCAGTGATTGGCTGGCGTCGTGGGTTTAGCTTGAATACCGTTCAGTGATTGGCTGACGTCGTGGGTTTAGCTTGAATATCCTTCAGTGATTGGCTGACGTAGCGGGTTTAGCTTGAATACCCTTCAGTGATTGGCTGACGTGGTGGGTTTAGCTTGAATACCCTTCAGTGATTGGCTGACGGAGTTACGAACACGTTACTATTTATCAAATACTGATGCACTTTCTGCACGTAGCACTGATACGCCCTAGCGCTGGGTAAAACTGAGTTTTATGACCCACACAGTGGAAAAAATTGCGCCGCCATTTGTACAAAGTGTCACTCATTTCTTTGAGTGAAAGGTCGCGTCGTCGGCTAGAACATTATTCTTGAAGAAGCTTGTACACGGAGACAAAAGTGGCGGCCAGTACAACTTTTAAATGCGACCAATTATTCTGCTCCTGGGTTAGTTTAAAGGGTCACTGAGTCCTTCCGTAGCCAATAGCTCCTATATAGGAGGCCAATAGCACGGCGAATATTGGCAGTAAGTATTTGAAAGTTGTACTTGCCGCCAGCACTTTCCCTCAGATTAATCACCTCAATGGTCGTCTGCCAGAAGCAGAATCTGTCAGGGTTCAGCTGCCCACCCAACACATGTGAGGGTTCAGCTGCCCACCCAACAAGTGTGAGGGTTCAGCTGCCCACCCAACACGTGTGAGGGTTCAGCTGCCCACCCAACAAGTGTCAGGGTTCAGCTGCCCACCCAACAAGTGTCAGGGTTCAGCTGCCCACCCAACAAGTGTGAGAGTTCAGCTGCCCACCCAACAAGTGTGAGGGTTCAGCTGCCCACCCAACAAGTGTGAGGGTTCAGCTGCCCACCCAACAAGTGTGAGAGTTCAGCTGCCCACCCAACACGTGTGAGGGTTCAGCTGCCCACCCAACAAGTGTCAGGGTTCAGCTGCCCACCCAACACGTGTCAGGGTTCAGCTGCCCACCCAACACGTGTAAGGGTTCAGCTGCCCACCCAACACGTGTAAGGGTTCAGCTGCCCACCCAACACGTGTAAGGGTTCAGCTGCCCACCCAACACGTGTAAGGGTTCAGCTGCCCACCCAACACGTGTAAGGGTTCAGCTGCCCACCCAACACGTGTAAGGGTTCAGCTGCCCACCCAACACGTGTAAGGGTTCAGCTGCCCACCCAACACGTGGGAGGGTTCAGCTGCCCACCCAACACGTGTAAGGGTTCAGCTGCCCACCCAACACGTGTAAGGGTTCAGCTGCCCACCCAACACGTATCAGGGTTCAGATGCACACCCAACACGTGTGAGGGTTCGAAGGGTTCACACGAGGGTTTGGCAGCGCTGCCAAACCCTCGCAGTGTCCGGTCGTCAGAGATCGCCAGAAAGTATACAAGAAAAATATTTGAAATCGAGTTCTCGTTCACGATCTTCAAGGCATATATCGGCATAAGGTTTTTAAAAAATAACGAGTCTTTGCTAATTTTCTTACCATTTAAATGCATCTCATTCTTCCAGATCTATTTGGAAAAGAAAGATCTCAAAATGTTGCGCATCAAACAGTTTTATTTTGCTGTAGCAAACTGTGCCTAAGTAACGATTTCATGTCTGTAGTAATCAGAGGCTTTCCCCGTATTCCTGATGAAGAAAATTTTTTAATCCGCTTTCATAATAATTTGATTTTATTTGGGATGTAATGTATAGATTTATTGAATGGAAAAAGAATGAGTTAAATGTAAAGTTATAACAACGAGTCGTCAATATTCAAGAAACTAAAAACCTAACTTAGGGAACTCTGAAGATATTTTGCGGTACCAGTATGAACTTAAAATATTTTCCGAAAAGTAAATTGGCTGTACGGGAATAAAAAAAGTTTATAGAATTTATATATAAACAAAAATTGCAAAAAATGAGTACGGAATGGATTTGAAAAGAATATTAGTCTATCATATAATATTCGTTTTATTCGGCAGAAGTTCTTCCTAAATGCAAGTTATATTAAAGACCAGAGAATGATTTTCATTAATAATTTTCTTAATATAATATATAAAAAACTTATAGATAAAATAAACGTTTATACGTACACTTGTTTTTAGGCATAACTTGCACATCGAATATACGTCTACTGTCAGAATAATACGAGTAGGTATTGCATATGCGACTCGACACAGCAACGACAAATAATTCCCTGCAGCTAAGACTATTAATAAAGAACAATGTAATTTAATTGATTTAACTTATTTATGATTTACCTGCGCTCGCAATTTTAACCGTCAACAATATTGGACTGTCACAACACAACATTCAGGCAAGTGACGCTGAAATAATGTGGATTAAGAGTTATTACAACGAATTCAACACGTAATCAACGTTGTTTTAACGAAATCAACTCGCACTCAACGTGTTTTTAACGAAATCAATCGGCAATCAACGTATTTTTAAGGAAATAAACTGGCAATTAACGTTGTTTCAACGAAATCAACCGGCAATCAATGCTGTTTTTAACGAAATCAACCGGCAATACACGTTGTTTCACCGCAATCAACGTTATTTCAACGAAAGCAACTCGCAAGCAACGTTGTTTTAACGAAATTAACTCGTAATCAAAGTTTATTCAATTTCATTTGCCTGGAGGGCAAGAAGCTCAAACTTGACTTCGATTCCGCGAGTAAAATGGCATGGCGCGATTCTATAGAGAACTAATTCGGTCGGTAGCTCATATAAAAAATTATTAATCGATTGAAGATTTAGATCATCGATCGAGTAGATTTGATAAATTAATAGTCGAACCAAATTAAATCGTTAAATTGAAAGCTACTAAGATTTCCTCGAGGCAGAATTTTCGCGGTTCATAACTAACGCGTTATCTTTAATAACGGCAATATTACGACGCACAACGGCAATGTTACGACGCATCCAAACCTAATTTAATTACTCAACAAATTTGGACCGTTAAAGATTATTTTGAACACCACAATGGAGCTACTGTAGGATGAGGCTCAGGCATTTCAGGACGATATCGGAAGCGGTCACAGATTGTACGGAGGATAATTATGGGGATACTGCTTTATTTTTCGCTACCCGCGGACATCTTGCAGTTCAGCTAGGAATTTAAACACAAAAATCTGACTGGCATCAAAAAGAGTAATGAAGGCGACCAAAAGGTGAAGTCCCACAGGAATTGTTCAGACAGATCGACACTTATATTTCATCTTCATCTTCTTCGTTTGACTTTACGTTCAGAATCTTGAGGGAAATAAACTAATAAATGATGCCGGAATGAAGAGACTAAATAATTATTGTTTATTATCGTTGACAACCAGCGTAAGTTTGTGTCTATAAGAAATCTCAAGACCTGCGCAGTTAAAGTGACCTTGGTCCTGAGAGTTTGCTAGCAGCGATAGCTTAATGCACTCGCGCCAGCCTCTGATAGCGTCTCCGCTAACATCGATCTTATCCTGGCGGAGCAGCAAGGAAGAGAAGCGTCTGCTAAGCTCAAGTTATACGCAGCGTATCATATGTAGCTTTTGGCGGACATAAAAGAGGCAGGCTACATACGCCTCAAGTTATACGCAGCGTATCATATGTAGCTTTTGGCGGACGCAAAAGAGGCAGGCTACATACGCCTCAAGTTATACGCAGCGTATCACATGTAGCTTTTGGTGGACGCAAAAGAGGCAGGCTACATGTAATGAACTGGGAGCCGAAACGGAGTGGGTTGGGATTGAATTCTAACTGGTAATATGTGATGCAGTGTAAGCTGAACAGAGCAAGTTGAGGTTCATTTCTGCCATAGCAGCATTCGGATCGAGCAGCATTAAAAGCTCCAGCATGGAAGGCATTTAATTCTCGGCAACACCAGCGATGCGGAGTATAATTCTTATGTCGAGCACTGGAAGCTAAAATTGACCAATAATTGCTCTACACAATAAAAAATTGAGCTTCACGCTTGCTACTTGCACAGAATAAGCCCATGAAAAGCAGAAAAGTATACTGCGAAGGCTACATGTACTGTTTCGACGGAGAAAATATTTTAGAAAAGTAACTAACTGATAAATCCTATGAAGCGAGGGCTTGTCAGTAAACTGATGAGTTATGGGACATTAAATGGCGAGAAAATGTTTAACGCCAATGCTACTAAAGTCGCCACAGCACTAATGTCGCCGGCCTTCAATAAAAACGATTTATTTTACCAAGAAAACTGAACCACATTTCATAGCGAGATCCAACTAGCTTCGTAGTTATTATTTGTTAATTGAAGGTCACAAATTATTGTTCTGAACAAGGATATACGGTCTTTTATTGGCGAGCAGTGAAACGAGTAGAGGTGGTCGCAGCACAAAGATGCTCCTGCTCACCCATTATTGAGCAGGTGGCCGCAGCACAAAGATGCTCCTGCTCACCCATTATTGAGCAGGTGACCGCAGCACAAAGATGCTCCTGCTCACCCATTATTGAGCAGGTGACCGCAGCACAAACAAACCGCAGTAAAGTAAACTTCTCTGTAGATCGCCGCTCGGTACACTGCCAGCCGCGCTCGAGTGCTGTGTCTACTCCTAACATTTGCTGTGACCGCGACAACGATCGAGTGTTTGAAGTGTCGTGCTGGGTATTTTTAATTGTATGCTATTGAAGAATGTTTTTAAAGAATAAAGACAATATGCAGTTGAATAATTGTGAGTACTGTAGTGAGTATAATAGTAAAACGACAACGATCGAGTGTTTAAAGTGTCGTATCGGGTACGTTTCTTTGCATGCTATTGAAGAATATTTTATATAGAATAAAGACAATATGCAGTGGACTAATTGTGTGTATTGTAGTTTAATTAAAACGGAGTGAAAATAATGATATGGATAGTTTCACGATAGCGGGCATTTTGAATTATGTAATTAGGATACCGATTCATGAATTGTATGCACATAATTAAATTACTAAAGGGAAAACTGAATAAGTTTGTCAATCTCTCGTGAGACTTTCAAGCCAAGTTGTAGGTTTCTAACGTTGAGCGTTACCTGGGTGTTGGTGCGTTACCTGGGTGTTGGGGCGTTACCTGGGTGTTGGTGCGTTACCTGGGTGTTGGTGCGTTACCTGGGTGTTGGTGCGCTACCTGGGTGTTGGTGCGTTACCTGGGTGTTGGTGCGTGACATGAACTGCTTGTGTGGGGAAGAAGGGAAGTCGTGGCGTCTGCCAGCTCTGTTATGGGCGCGGTATCGGCGGCCGAGGATGGGGGCGAGTCTGCCCCCCATGGTGGGGGTACCGGGGGCCCGTAAGTCCACCACGGAGGACGCGGTGACCACCACGTCCTCCTGCTGCTGGCCGCCGTCCTCAAGGGATACTTCCTCGTCCACCTCCTACAGGAGATGTTATCTTATTATTTATGTTATCTTCATTATATAATGTTCATTGTATTATGTTATGTTGTGTTACACTTTATCCTCTCATTATTCATTATGTAGTCGGTCTCTATTACATAATCACCCCATTTATCCGATCCGATTTATTAAATCGCCTGTTACTCGTGTAATAAGGGTGATGCGACATGGGTGATTATGGCACATGCCTCTCTTACGACAGCGGGCAAAATAGAGTGAATAAAATAAGAAGTAAAAAATAATAATAATTCAGGAAAATGATAGGGTCATGTTGTCCTAATAGTGACTTTCTGAAGTTGCAGCGATCTAATCTATTGCCATGGCAGATCTAAGTCGGGATTAACCAAGCAAGGGCAAAAAGTGCATCACTATTTTTACAAAGCTCACTCAATTTTGGAGCGTAAGACCGAAAACGCAGCCAACCTGAATAATTAAATAAAAAAGTTCACGAGAATAACCCATCCTGGAATACTAGAAAAAATATAACTCAGTACTCACTGCAGTGAGTGACAGAGAGCGCATTTTTTCGTCAACAAAAACGTTGTCACGGACGGACAGACAGAACGACAAACAGACAGACAGACAGACAGACAGACAGACAGACAGACAGACAGACGGACATGGCGAGCACAATAGTGCATTTTTTCCATAAATGAGAAAATGCGCTAAAAACAATCCACTGAGAAAAATGATCGGATCCTATTGTCCAAATAGTGACCCACCTGGATCTCATCGAAGGTGACAGGCGTGGTTCTGAAGCGGCCGCTCCTGTCGATCCTCTTCTTGGTCTGCCTCCTGTAGGCGGCGGCAGGGTCGCCCTCCACCACCCGCGAGAAGCGGCTCAACGGCTCCGGGTACACGGCGTCCACCTCCCGCCGGTAGTCCTTGATGGGGGACCCCGACATTTCGGGGGCAGGTCCACCCTCGGAACACCCGCGACACCCGCAACACCTGCGGTACCCGCAACTCCCGTGGCACTCACAGCACCCGATCAGTAGCCGGTGGTGATGCTCGATGGGTTACATGCTGCACGAGCGGTACGTAAGCATCACAGGAAGGTCGATGAGGGCTCTTGACGGACGCTAAGGTCACTGTAGCGACACTATAATGATTTATACGTCCGACGCTTTAGTGCGTTGATTATCGTTATGGTCACTTCATAAACAGTATGATGCTTTATGGGACGCTATATATAATTTATGAGACGCATTCCATAACTTTCTGTTTATGGGACGCCTTGATGAACGTGATGGTCACTTCAGCGACAGTACGATGAGTTATGGGACGCTATATATAGTCACTTGAAGAAGGGTGAGGTCAGGGAAACAACGTAATTTTTAGCGCGTAAGACACCATATACGGTCACGCAAACTGTGCTTATTGATGGTCTTTGGGTGGACACTTGGATATCTTGAAGGACGGTGGTCACTTTACGGACGTTATGGTCACTTGATGGACGCAATGGTCTCTTTTATATGACGCTATACGGTCACTTTAGGTAGGTACCCTAGGTTTTATATACTTAACCAATGCTCGTCGTAGGTCCATCACATTCTATACACATCACTATTCACAAACTACACACCCCACCTCCTAGCCAAATTAACAAATTTGGAGACCTTTATCCAGTCAGTACAGCAGCGACCGTGAATAAAATTTCACTCGCGACACTTTTGAATCAAAACACAGAGGACGGATTGTGAAATATGATAAGAGAGTCTATAAGTTCAAAATATTCCATTCGCTTATTAGTCATTCATTTTATCTCACTGGAACACATATACATGAATTTTTAAGGGTAAAATTTGACATAATTTCAACATACTTAGAACTCAAATGTTAGCGAATAATTTGGATTATTAGTCAAGGGATCTTCAATAATGTAACTCAAGAGCCTTTCATCACTGCCCTGAAATTCGTGACCGGACATGAAGCTCAGCAATTCATCATGTCTATCCCATAGATGGCAGGAGTTCGTCGTGTAATATATCATTAATAATTAATTGTCAAGTTCTTGCTCAATTTCTTGGCTGATGTATCCTTGTCAATTACAACTCAATCGCTTGGCCAATGCACCCTGGCCAATTTCTTGTCAGATGTATCCTTGTCAATCACTTAGCAATTCCTTGGCACTCAAATCACTTGCACAACAGTCAAGTTAGGAAATAATGTTGGTTTTTCCGTGCAACAACACAAACATTTCTTCATCTTTCAACTTGGTTTATTGCACGGCAGGTTGCCTACATTGATTATTTATTGCTGTGTAAGATTTGAATTCAAGTTAAATATTGTTCTTTAGGCCTGAAAACAAACACAAAATGGGATGTCAATAGGATACGATTTCAATGCAATTGGCTATTAATATTATTCTTGTTTATACACGTGCAATTGATGGCCAGAGAATTTGTTGATTTATATTATCTGGGAGTGGAACTTTGCTTCAGATGACAGTAAATTAAAAGGCAAGTTGTTAATTTACCGCGTCGTCTGAAGAAGAGTTCCACTCCCTGATAATATAAGTCAACGAATTCTCTGGTCATCAATCGCCCGTGTATAAACAAGTAAATTCTGCCATCTAATACTAATACTTTTCTATGCACAAACTAAAAAATTATTGAGTCATCTTGTCAACATAGTGACACTATTTCTCACCAACAGCATGGGTACTGAGTAGACGTAGCACAGATGCGACGTTTGCGGGACCATAATGAGTCAGGATGACCCACATAGGGATAAAAAAATGTATCATTATTTGGAAAGTTTCACTATTTTCTGCTAGTATATCGTTCTAAATTGGGTAATAGAAAAACAATGGGAAGGTAATCTTCGTTACTGAGGAAGTTATTTTGAAATCATCATATCATGATACTGTATGAAGGCTTTATATAATAATAAATCCTGACTGCGTAGGGAATTTCCTATATAATTATACAATGATGTGCCATTTACCTTCAATGAAAGAGGAAATAAGTGGACATTTCTGCTCGACAGTTTTTATCAACTAGAGGCAGCTGGTATCACGCCTGTATTCTGACTATCGATATGTTGAAATAACGTTGAATTCTATACTCAATACAACATCATAATTTAAGTCAACAAAGATTTGAAAATGCAGATATGTATATAATCCGACTTAAAATCGTCCACTTGAAGTTGATTTTCCTTGAATATAAATTATTCTCACTCGAGCATTTTTGACTAGACATCCAATTAGAGCTAACTGAACGAACTGTGCGATTAGTTCCTCTTATTCTACTTCCTAAGCTCACTCATGGCGTTCATCGCAACAATATAGTGCGATATTTGCCAATTATGATATAACAGTGAGATAATTGCCAAGTTTGCAGCAGCTGCATCATCCCGTAAAGCTGTTTTATGTTACACTTAAAACAATGAATGGGTCACTTTGTCCGAACAGTGACATAATTTTCCTACACTTAACAATATTACGCCCTTTTGGAGGGTTAAACAGGGTTAGGATGCCCCTCACAAGGTCATAAATTGCATCGATATTTGGTCAAAGTTTCCTCATTACTCTGAGTGAGGAAGGACAACACTCGTATAGGTTCACGTATATGAGTGTAAATTTATACTAAGTATACACTGAAAGGCTGTCTCTCATATAAGCGAGAACATTAAAGTTACTAAACTACGGAACAAAGAAGCATCTAAGATTTAATGTGCAGCAAAATCTCGGTAAACGTAGCTTGCGGTGAACTTTTTCGTGGTTGACGTTCGTCCAGTAAAGAAAGGATCGAGAAGCGATCATATTTTTTCGATCATGTCGCTCATATAACAACGATCAGATTAAAGTTAATGCAATGGGCAACATTTCGCAACACAGTCCCTTCTCAATCGTGATAACAAATATCTGTCATCGGTATCATTACGCAACACAGTCCCTTAATTATTAATCGTGATAACAAATATCTGTCTTCGGTATCATTACGCTCATATAGTTCCTTCTGAATTGTGATAACAAATATCCAGCATCGGTATCATTACGCATCGTGACGACACAAATTCAACATTATACATTATAAAATAAGGGTTTTTCGTGGTTTTAAAACCATACCCATGGTTTTAAAACAATAAAATAAGGGTTTTTCGTGGTTTTGCCACTGTATGTACGCAACACTGTCGCTCCTGCATCGCGATTACAACTGCCCATCATCGGAGACACTACATGCAATTCACATCACGTTAATAATAACGTACAGCAGTTATGAAGGCATATGCTCAACTGTAAACACCATTAGTCTCGAAAAAAGTAATATCCTGGAGATTGTTTTGCTTGTCTTGCGCCAGGCAATTTCGAGCTGATTGCATTCCTACTTCAAGTGAAAAAATTATTATCAAATTATCGTTGCCTAACCAACGAATATTGCAAAGATTCAGGATTAACAAATGAGTCCAGAGAAAGTTTTTTTTTCAAAAACGTCTTACTTTACTTCTTTACACAACTTTTAGAAAAATTATTCAGAACTTTCGAAATTTAGAGGAAATTGACGAAGTCCATTGAAGACAAAATTATAGGGAATTTTCAGCGTCTCAACTCGAATGCCAGGACCCATACTTTCAAAAAAAGTTAAGAGATCGTAAGTTCATCAGCCAATCATTGACGGCCTTTCAAGCAAAATCCACCAATCATAGACAAGAAAATAAAGCGTAAGTACTTACGTTCACTATACTTTCAAAAAAAGTTAAGAGATCGTAAGTTCATCAGCCAATCATTGACGGCCTTTCAAGCAAAATCCACCAATCATAGACAAGAAAATAGATCGTAAGTACTTACGTTCACTTAGCGAGTTTTGAAAGTATGGCCCCAGGACGTCTGTGACTTGCAAGTCACAGAAGAGTTCTGACTTCATGGACGGAGAGCTCGGCGCAGAATTCCTAACGTATTATAAAACTTCAATAAATTTTTGACTTCGATGTTTTCCCGCTGGGTTTCACAATATAGCGCGGCCGCAACGGTCGACTGAAGCAATAATACATCAGTAGAGCGGCAGGAAATTACGCTCCTGTTTTTCCGATTTCGCTGCAAAAAGCGCCTTGGTTTTATTGGTTTCGTCTCAACTGCAACTTTCTGAAGAAAAAATTGACTGGCAGCAAGAAATGTAATGGCAAGTTGATAGCTCGAGAAAAAAAAAACAAATGAAAATAAAGTGAGAAACGAAGAACGCAAGTTTAGAAGTCATGTACAATTTATTACACGTAAGAAATTTATTGATTAACTATATAAGGCCTTAATACGCTTTTCGAATATTTCCTAATTGAGATATTCTTTATTCATTATTTGAATATTATTTAAAGATTGGCTGCTCACTATAAGAATAAGTTCATAATTATAATTTCATTTATTGATTTTTCATTTCATTTACTTTACCTATTCGCTAGTAGGATATTATTTCTCAGACCATGAATACTGAAATGCGAATATATTAAAGATTTAGGCTCAGATTCGGAGACTGAGATATAGGGAAGGCTATATACTTGCATATGGGGCACTGAAACTTCGATTGTTGGGTAAAAAATTATACGTTGGGATCGACGAAGTTTCGGAACTCCCATTTGTGGCACTTGTAGGACAAGATATAAGAGATATACTTACGACCTATACAAGAGCTCTGGAAAGCTCTGTACAAGTCTTAACAATAGCAAGAATAGAACTTATGCAATACGTACAATTATAGACAAGATTATACGATACAATACAACTGCGATGGTGGAAGCCGCAGTCGACAGGCATTGAAAGATGAGATCTTCTGGATGATCCTTGGTCTGTTTGATGATGCTTGGATGAGATCTGTTCGACGTTTCAGGGAGGGCAGGATCAATACCGACGAAGAATGGATTTATTGGAAGTCTAAATCGTGATCTCGCTATTTGCCACGTGTCTGGACTCACTACAATACGCGTAAATGCTTTTTTTAGTTGAGAGAAACAAGATACCTTTAAGATACCAGAAGTGCTACCAACAATAAGCATTTATAAACACCTTTACTTTGAGATACCAGCAGTACTTCCGACAATAAGCATTTATAAACACTGTTACTAACAATTGTACTCGCTAATCATTCATCACCATGCAGCATGACCAACATAGGTAATCACTATAATCATGTATCACCACCACTACCATCAACGTTAATCCCCAATCATGCATTGTCACACGTATATAGAGCTAAGCTGGATTGCGCAGGATTGCACAGTCCGTAGCACAGCAATCAAGCTATATGCCGGTGATTGCTCTGATTGCTCTTCAAGGCAGACGCCACATTTAATGAAATTGACGTTTAATTATCAGCGCACATCCAATGGCCACCTATCTGACGGCTAAAATATTACTATGAGAATCACGACTGAAATGCGCAACTTTAATGTCATGACTCTCGAGATCTATTATTTATTATAGATATCTATAATTAAAACACTTACAGTATTAATTCGCTTGATGTTTGACTTGCTATTTTGGGATCGCATTCCCCCTCGTAACATGCTTGTGACATGAGAACCATTGTAGATAAAAATATACCTCAGTACTCACTTTCACTGCAGTGAGTGGCAGAGAGCGCATTTTATAGTTGACGAAAACGTGAAGTCACGGACGGACAGACGGACATGACGAGCACAATAGCGCCTTTTTTCCATAAAAGAGATAATGCGCTAAAAAGACAATGAAATGTGCAGAATAGTTCGATACAAGAACATTTAGAGATAATTTTTAATTAAGGTATACATGACCAACTGATCAATGAGTAATCTACCATAATACAATTGATAGATGATCTATTTATTTAGAAGTACTTTGGGTTTGGAAACATTGTTTGAAAGTTCTTGGTCTTGACTGTTAAACCTTCATGTAATTAATATCCAAAAGTTATTAACATTCCAACGTGCCAGGACGCGATTAATCCAAGCCCTCGTACATATTTTATCGTAATAATATTTAAATATTAGGTTTTTATATTATTACGTAATATTAGGGTTTTAGGTTCAATCTGTTACATAACAACGAACAATCCGATCAAAGTAATAACATTCATAATAGCTCTCTCATTTTCCTGGTTTCAAATTCCTTCATTATCTCGAATGGGAACATTGATGCACTCAAAATTGTGCTACGTATATCCATCTGATGCAATAAAATCTCAGTGTGAGTTTCAAGGCTCCAAAACAATTAACGGTCATATTTCAGTTTGCGTTCAACACTCGAACTGCAAAAAGTAGACCAAAGGGTCTTTTGTTGTGCGTCCTGAAGGACAATTTATCAATAAAAACC